CTTTCCCTAACTGTTCAATGAAATTCTGAATATATTTATTAGCTTAAGATAGACTGCAACATCCACACTGCCTTGTAGTAGCATTTTTTGGAGCATCATGGAGAGAGGTCTTCCAGCTTGAAGAACTGAAGTGCAATTATGAGCTAAAAGCAGCATTGTCTTACTTCATGATATGTATCTGTTCCTCTCTAATTTATATTTGCAAGTGCAACTACTGTAAAACCACAAATGCTCCTAGTAGTTCTGTGGAACTAGCACATTTACCTGAGCTCTTGGAGACGCACATCACTGTTGCATATGAGCGACTCCACAATTATGAAGCGTACCCATGCAGACATTTTTTCCCCAGCTATGGAGAGCAAGAAGAGAAATATTCCTTTCAACAGAAGAAGCCCAATAAATATGGAAATCTCTCCCATATTATCTATACTGTTCTCAAGCTTATCTAATCTAAGCACACTTCAAACACAGGGCTTCCTTCAGCGTACTGTAGCTTTTTGCTTTCAGGATGTCACTTATGTATTCCACTATTATCCACTAACCGCAGAGAACAAGATATTCCACCGCTATTTATTTGTTTATAAAAGGTACTTACTGTATGCAAATTGTCCCAAGAAATTTGGCTTGCAAATTTGTCCTAAAACAACCATATCTTATCTCACCAACTTTTCTAAAATCTGCTTAGCGAAACACTCCTATCTACAACTTACTGTAAAAGAAACCACTAACCTGATTCAGAGGACCAAGTAAGATCTCAAAGCGGGTACCTTGTTGAGTACAGGGGAGAAAATACCTGGATCATGCATCCTGAGGAAGATTCAGGTACTGATTTCCAGATGACTGTGTAGTTCTTCTGTCTTTACACTGACCCGCCAATGGAGACAAAGAAAAAGACTTCAACTCTCCTGCCCGTTCTAATCTCTCTTGCATCTCTAATCGTAGCTAAGAGATTTATTTCAAGGTTCTTATGCCACCAGGTTAAATCCTGCAAAACAGGCCAATTAACTGAGCGTGAGCTGAGACCTCACTGACAAACTGGATTTATGGCAACTTCATTTACTCTTTTACCTCCTAAGGCTTGGGCTAGTAAGCAACAGAGACTATTCCTGCAGTATTTTGTAAGGTCTTTGTTAGTTCTAGGATGCCCACAATTCCCAGTGTCACTGTGTTCTTCCATGGGATGAAAATCCCCAAGAACATGTCCCAACAGGTTAAAGTCATACAGTGGAATTCTCTTCCCTTTTTGATTTTTTCTGATACAATTAAACTCGTAGCTAATGTTTATGCTGAAAGGTCCGTCCAACAACGCACAGTCTAGTACAGCATGGCAAACTTATGCAGAGGTGCTCCCTTAAAGTGTGTGTGTGTGGGGGGGGGGCAGTCGCATGGAGCCTTCAGTTTAGAAAAATATAATTTCTCTTCCAAAGAAAGTATCTGAAGTAGCACTTCCAATTTTCTGTTGTGTGTATGTGCTGATCTACAGCACAACCACAAAACTTCAGATCAGAAGCATATTCAGATCAAGAGCATCTGGGACCTCTTGGGCCTGTTGCATATGGGCTACACAAATGCTTGCATGTGCTCAGATATACCCAACTGCATTGATTTTGTCGTATGCACACTGACCAGTCATGCTTTGGACCTGCCGTGCACGTGCTGACCGCAAAGAAGGTATTATACATGTTGAGTATGCTCCATAGCTTTGATTTGTACACATACACTGTACACAAATGTACAAATTGGCCTGGGATTTTTGAGCTCTTGCTCAGTCTGGGATGTGGTACATTATAAATGCTGGACAAATGTCTCAGTCAAAGTTCTTTTTTCTGCCCAGATAAAATTTATATTATATGAAAATTATACCATATGAAAAAAATAAATATCTGTGGAAATCTAGACATATATTATCCTTAAGCATCAGAAAATGTTTTTGCCTCAGACCTACTACTCATAGAAGAAAGAGTGCATCTTCCCTGTTGTTGCTTTGCAATATGAATCTAGTACTTCCACACACTGAAAGACAGCAAGCAGAAGATGGCAGTGCTGCTGTATGTAGCTTTCTCTACCATGCCAGGTAAGAAGCCTGCTTTTATTTGAGCTACAGATCAGAGGTCATTCAAACAGCTAGTGGAAGCTTAGGCTGCATCATTTTAAGAAATAACTTAAATCCAACCTTGATGCAACTAGAGGCCAATGCTACCCATATTCTTTGTTCTGTCTCTTATTGGAAAATGGTTTCAATTGCAAAGTTAGTATTCAGAGTTGAATTATTCAGAAATCAGTTTTGATTTATGGCCATCTATAACTAACCACGCTGCACTTTATTACAGACCTGCTGGGAAGTCTGCACACCAAGACCATAATGACAGAGAAGCATTTTGTAGGTCAGCAGGACTGTTTGCACACGTGTATCTGCCATCAATCACCCAGTGGTGTAGAAAGAAAATACATACTTCCCTACTAGTAGTGGAGATTGCTGTACTGTGGCTTTGGATCTGAAAGAAATAAGTTTAATACATGTTTGGGTAATCATTTATCTGCTTAATACTATTCATGTATAACTCCACAAGGACAGATGTGTTATAAAGTAGCCTAGTTACACACCTACTTTGAATGATACTTGCTACAAAATTGTATTTTACATGTGGTTTCCAGAAATTAAAGTTTTATTCTGATATTTTAATAGTTTTCCATTTATTCTTTTATTTAATGCAAGTGGTAATGGTTAGTAAGAGATTTTGGAGTAAAACCAGACTAAATGGACTAAAACCAGAGGCCACTGGATAAGTAAGTTCAGCACAAGCAGATACTATACGATCTTTCTTCAAAATGCAAGAGCTTCAAAGGGAGAGACCATGTTCAGGAAAAGCTATTCACAGATATATGTTAATGGGGAGAGGCTATAAAAAAGGGTATTTAGACCATCAGCCTTTTTTGGGCCTTTGTAAAATTGTAAACCACATGACAGCTCCTGATAGGCTTAAGTTATTAGACAGATAATTCAACTCTCCGTTACATTTTTGAACTTGTTAGTAAGGAAGTATAGTGATTTTTAGATGATTAGTGTTGTGGGTAGAAGAGGATATCTAAGTTAGATTAAACATTTGAAATTCTTATGGAATGGGAGAGATGGCAGAGGGAGTATAAAGGTGATACCAACACTCAAAGGCAGGAGGCAATGGACACTAACTTAAAGGAACCCCGTTAGTACTCTAGAATACCACAAAGTGTATTGCAAACAAAGCCAGTTGTACTATAATTTTCATTTTTCAGCTGTTTAAGGGTTGTAACAATATGGACGCAGAAGCCAGTCTTAAGTAAAAGGGAAATTGTAGCAGACTTGCATAAATTGCACAGCACACATACTGCTCATCTTCAGGGCTCCTATACATCCAGGGAACTACCGTGCACGTAGCAGTCAGGCTTGCTCTGATTCCAGTCCATACTAGCTATACTGTCCCTAACCTCTGAGTCATCCACTCCTGACTCGTGGTGAGTCATTACAAATGGAAAAGAAAGGAACAGAAAGAGGGTGTTCAATTCAGCAGTCTATGGTAGAGCTGGAAATTGAACCTGTATTTTAAATCTTGGTAAGCTAAAACTTCCATGTCAGCTGTAACTTTTTTCTGAAGACCAGAATTCATTTTTACATTGTGGATAATCAGACCACGCAGCAGTCTTGCTTTCCACCTTCGCATCTTACTTACTAGCTACTGTAACGTCACAAGCCAACCATCAGGAAATGGAATTATACAGGTATTGTGAGGGCTCCCCGCAAAAATCCCTTTACATAAAGAGGTGACATTTTCTTTTTCTGTTTCACATGTCACAGCATCAATAATTTTAGTGCATTGTATTGCCAGTCAATGCTTCTTCCCCTAGCAGTACAGACAACTACTCTCAAATATCTCCTCAAAGTTACCGCACCTTCCGTACAAATTAGGACATTTCCTTGGTCTCACCTTATTACAAATCTTCTGTTAGTGTCATTTTTCACTCTTCCGGTATTATTAGAACTGAACAATTTAGGATACCTACTTTTAGGGAATCTGAGATTCTTTTAAAAAGATACATTAAAAAAAACCAAACAGTTACAAAGAAACAGTTACAAAAAAGAGACTGGCAAAGTTTCTGAAGCAATGATTGCAAGCAGCCACAGAGCCTTTACAGCTCCTCTGAAAAATATCCAAGTTCCCTCTGTTATTGCACTGGTGACTTCATGGTTATGTGAAACTCTGTGTCTACAAATCATGATCTAGGAAGAAAAACTAAATGAAATGGTCTTTTTTAGTGTAGAGAAGACTGATGGTGAGATGTGGAAATAGCATTTGAATACTTCCAATGTAGCTGCGCAGAGGAAGGGAATAAATTGCTTTGGTTATAGGAGGAGAAATAATGGGCTTAAATTACTAAAGGAGAGATTTATGTTACGTTTAGGAAATCTTCCTTTTAGTGAGAATAGTGAAAAAGTGAAACGGATTGCCTAGGAAACTGCTGAATTTCCATCAACAGAGCTCTTTTTAGAGAAAGTCAAGAAACACTGGCAGGCATGTTGCAAGGCCAGTTGCTGCTACCTTGGGAAAAGGGCTGAACTAGATGTCTCGAGGTCTCTTCCATCCTGCTCCCTGTGAATCTTTATTTGCTGTGAACTGGATATCTGTTTACTCATCTACTGACCTTAATAAGCAATGTTCTATCTTTAGTCAGTACCTCTTCTACTCAATGCTTTTGCCTGAAATGTGAGCCTCTAAAATGCGTTTTCCTTTCTAGTCTTCACTGAGAGCACTGTTTCCACCTCCATTTATATATTTAATTATGTATAACTTTCAGTACATTCTAGGATTTGGTGGCTGTTCATTTACTGACTAATCATACCTACGAATTTGTCATCTCTTGGAAATGAATATTTATTAAGTCTGTGCATCTTGCTATCTAGCCCTTCCTTTTTAGTCTTCCTTTTTTTATCTTCTCTTTTCTGACAACCGCTTGATTTCTGATTCTCCAAAATGTAAAGAAATTTTCTGGAGCAATGTCTCCTACTTCTGTGGTCAGCTAAGCAGAAATTTTGCTGAGAACTCCTGACTTGTACAGAAATAAATGAATAAGCCAACCCCCCTGCTGTCTAGGCAGAAAAGGGTTCCAATGAAAGTGCCTGAAAATGAGAAGTCTGTACTTTGTGAAATGAATCATCTACTCCCATACACACTTATTTCAGGAAAATAACAGCACAGTTTTGAAGGTCTTAACACACTGTTAATCAGCTGTCACCTTTCTCCTTAAGCAGATGTATGCGTATGTTTGTGTACAGGCTGTCCTTTTTCAATTTTTAACATTCCTTGAGGAAACATTAGATCATTAGTTTCAGACAAAAAACACCAATGAAAGTCCTCGTATCTCCCATATCCCACTACGAAACAGATTCTCAAGAAAGTAGATGGATCCTTCTATGATTGTATACTGTGAGGTCTAAGAAAGCAGAAGTTGAAACGCTAGAAAGTTGTGTTCGATCCACAGACAATCCAGGAAGTTCTGTTCTAGTTCATCAAAAGAGAAAGGAAGGTGCAGCTGGGAGTTTGGTTTAGTGTGAGTATAGTCTCATTCTCTGTTCTTTTTTAAAGAAAAAAAAAGTTAGAGCGGTGTCTACTTGTATTCAGAAATATTTTTCTGTCACTTCCCCTTTACAGAGTTGTTATCTACATTTGTAAAATTCAGAATAGTTCTATTTATTCAGTCTCGTTAAGTACTTTGATACTTATTATTAAATATTGAAGCGATACTTGGCATGTAAGAACCTATATACAGTACTGTGGATTATTTTTCAGGTAGTCACACTGATCAGCAAATTGTGTTGCCCCAGGCACACACCAGCACAACTGAACTTTTATCTCTTTTTTGCTGTTGCTCATAGCATTCCATAGCAACTTCTCTGTCACAATGA